GAGGAGGTGATCTGCGGCAATAGCCTTGCCCTGGGTTGTCCCTGCAGGAAGCCTTATACTTTTCCCAAACCAAGCAACCAACCATGTATCTATCCATCCATCCATCCATCCATCCATCCACCCATCCACCTCATCCAACCATCCATCCATCCATCCATTCACCCCATCTGACTATCCATCCATCTATCCCATCCATCCATCTAGCCCATCTCATCCTACTCATCCATCCATCTGATCCTATCCATCCTATCCCATGCATTCATCCATCTTATCCCATCCCATCCATCCAGCTATCTATTCAATCCCATACCATCCAAAGCTATCCCATCCCATCCCATCCCATCCATCCATCCATCCATCCATCCATCCATCCATCCATCCCATCTGTCCATCTGTTCATCCATCCATCCCATCCACCCATCCATCCATCCTATCCCATCCCATCCATTTATCCCATCCATTCATCTCATTTCATCCCATTTCATCATCCATCCACCTGTCCCATCCCATCTATCCATCCCTCCATCCAATCATCCATCCTACTACCCATCCATCCATCCTATCCCATTCACCTATTTCATCCCTCCCATCCATCCATCCATTCATCCCATCCACCCATCCATTCATCCTTTCCCATCTCATCCATTTATCCCATCCACCTATTCATCCCTCTCATCCATCCATCCATCCATCCCATCCCATGCATCCCATCCCACCTATCCCTTCCCATCCATCCATTCCATCCATCCATCCATCCATCCTGTCCCATCCCATCCAGCCAGCCTCCATCTCTCCCTCATCCATTCTCACATATGTTTATGGAGCATCTATCTATATCCATATCTCTCAGTACCCATGGGAGATTGGTTTTAGGACCCCCCCAAAATAACAAAATCTGTGCATGCCCAACTCCCTTATATAAAAATGGCATCATATATGCATATAACCCACTCACAGTGTACTTTATTATTTATTTATTTATTTATTTGAGTTGGAGTTTCACTCTTGTCGCCCAGGCTGAAGGCACGCTCACGGCCACTGCAGCCTCGACCTGCTGGGCTTTGGCTATCCTTCCGCCTCAGCCTTCCGAGTAGCTAGAGCTGCAGGTGTGCGCTACCACACCCGGCTAATTTTTTGATTTATTGTAGAGATGAGGTCTCACCAAGTTGCCCAGGTGGGTCTCGAACCCGCGGGCTCAGGAAATCCACTCACCTCAGCCTCCCAAGGTGCGGGATGACAGGCTGAGCCACCGAGCCCGGCTCACAGTGTACTTTAAATCATCTCTAATTACTGATATTACCTAATGCAATGCCCACACAGCACTTCATTTGTATGGATTCAAGGTACTTGGTGCAAGGCAAATCCACATTTGGTTTCTGGAGTTTTGTGGAATTTTTTTTCCTGAATATTCGTAATCTGAGGTTACGGATATGGAACCCACAGCCATGGAGGGCGAACTGTCCTATGTGTCATGGGCTCTGCTGCTGAGCACACAGCAGTGATCGAGATGCAGGCCCCCTCCATGAGCTCACATCCTGATGGGGCAAGGCATCAGGGAGATCAGCCTCTCACTACATCGTGTCAAGGTCATGGAGGGCCAGCTAGGACCTGTTCATCCTCAGCTCTTCTCTCTCTTCCTTTCTCCAGTGAGGATAAAAAAAGCAGTGGCAGTGACAATAACAGCAGTCCTAGCAGTCACGTGCTGGTGGTTCACTTTGTGCTGGACACCTTACCTGCCCTCACACATTACATGTCACAACAGCCTTGAAGCTGCGCTGTTATTATTTCCCTTTCACAGTTGCAGAGAAGCGAAGAAACTCACCCAGGGCTACACAGCTGGTAAGTAAAGGGTGGAAAGAGCTTCAAATCCAGGTTCTCTAATCCCCACTGCTTCCATACACCCCAACCCTTAGGCAACGCCTGTTCCTGACATGCCTTGGTACATGCTCTTAGCTACCAGTACCCTCTCTTCTGAATGGTTACTTCTACAAAAAGCCTATCAGATGCCAGGTACTATATGTACATTATTGCTTTTAACCCTCTTGAGAACTCCTCAGGGCAGGGAGCTTACAGACAAGAAAACCGAATCTCAGAGAAGCAAAATAACTTGTCTTTGGTGATCTAGAAAGTAACGAATAGGGCAGGGATTGAAGCCTTGGTCTCCAAAGTCCATGTCCTTTCACCACTTTACATTACTCCTTCATCTGGCAAACTCCTACATATCCATCAAGACTCAGTGTAAATGTAACATCTTCATGAAATCATCCCTGAATTTCTGAGGCATCGTTTTTCCTCTTCTGTATTTATACTGTCTCTTTAGTGTAATATTAGTTTGTGTCTTTGCTACTTCTGTGTCTTTCTCCCTAGGCAAGCCTGCCCGGCTATACTCTGTTAATAATAATCTTGCCTCTTCTTCCAGAGATTGGGGCTCTGTGTATTTAATTTCATTTCTGATTTTAAACTAACTTAAATTGTTGGCCAATTTATCCATTTATTTCTGCTATTTGTTGCTAATCCAATTAGCCTGGAATGAAGATGCAGTTCCAGTGGAGTTAGTAAAACAAGGGAACTCAAGGTCAAGCCCCTAAGGTCAAGTCCAGCCCTCAAGGTCAAGTCCAGTCCTTAGCAACATTGTGGGCTCTGTCTTCAGTCACTCCTTGCCCACTGTTACACTGTCCTCTCTCTGGCTGATTCTTTCCAATCTTATTAGGAACACTGGCTGATAAACATTCACCCCAGGGGGCCTGGAATCCCCAGGTCCTCAGGAATGTGCATATAATCCAGAAATCCCTAAGAGTAACACTTCAGTTGCCTGCTCTTAGAGCAGAGCTGTGATATGACTTTTGTGGTCCATTTCCTCCATGAAGCATATACAACTTTTTATATTTTTATTTGTATGATTTTTTGAGTTGGGGGGTCTCACTCTGTTGCCCAGGCTGTAATGTAGTGGCACAATCACAACTCTCCGCAGCCTTGGCCTCCTGGGCTTAGACGATGCTCCCTCCTTAGCCTCCCAAGTAGCTGGGACTATAGGTACACACCACATGCCTGGCTAATTTTTTGGTTTTTCTGTAGAGATGAGATCTCACTATGTTGTCCAGGCTGGCCTGGAACTCCTGGGCTCAAGTAATCCTCCCTTTCTGGCCTCCCAAAGTGCTGAGATGACAGGCGAAAACCACCATGCCTGGTCACCAATCTTATCTTATATGAACAACAGCTATCTTTCTGAATACTGCTGTCACCCCCTAACATACGAAGACGTCAGCAGCCTTAGTTCCTAGTATGGACATCTGAACTGCTTGGAAGTTTATGTGACTAGGCCTGTTCCAGTCAGAAGGCAGAAAGAAAAAGAAGTAGACAAGAGAAGCCAGATTTCATGATCTGGCCCAGACTGTTGGTCCAGGCGAGACTCCAAGGCAATTCATGTCCCTAAAGGCCAGTGTCCCATTTCCGTGGTCTCTGAGCATAGTAAGTGTCTGTTTAATGAGGTGCTTGTCCTCCACTGGTCACAGTGAACACTCACGGAGTCTCAGTAAAACGAGGATTTATGGAATTTTCAGTTTTAATAAATAGTCATTATCTTTGCAATGGGCTCCAAGCCCTGGTAAAAATGAACCGGTCTAGGTGACCAAAGAGAAAATGTCCAGGATGCCCTTCAGTTACAAAAGTCAGTCTCTTCCCCACCGCCCACTCACCGCCACCTTGCTGCCCTCTACAGGCCTGAAGCCAAATTCAGTTTTCTTACTGAGGCCCCCAGACACCTTGCCCAGGAGTGATGATCTTGAAAATAAAAAACAGAAAAGTGGCTGGGCTCAAGTGGCTCAGCCTGTAATCCCTGCACTTTGGGAGGCTGAGGGGAGTGGATTTGCCTGAGCCCACGGGTTCCAGACCAGCCCGGGCAGCTTGGCGAGACCTCATCTCTGCAATAAGTAAAAAAAAAAAATAGCCGGGCATGGTAGCGCTTGCCTGTAGTTCTGGCTACTTGGTAGGGTGAGGCGGAAATATCGCCAGAGCCCAGCAGGTCAATGCTGGGATGGCCATAAGCGTGTCACTGCACTCCAGCCTGGGCGACCGAGTGAGACTCCAACTAAAAAAAAAGATATGAGTCTTTTTTTTGGCAACCCCTTCGGTTCCCCTCCCACTGTGGGAGCTTTTCAGTCCTCTCAATAAATCCTGATTTATATTAAAAAAAACACAAAAACCAGAAAAGCAGGCATAAAGAGCTTCAGACATTTTCCCTAGCCTTGGCACAGCAGAAAAATCTGCTCTGAAGGAAGGCCAGCCAAAAAATAAGCCCAGGTCGGGTGCAGTGGCTCATGTCTGTAAACCCAGCTCTTTGGGAGTCTGAGGCAGGAGGATCACTTGAGCCTAGGAGTTCAAGATCAGCCTGGGCAACAACGTGAGATCTCGTCTCTACAAAAAAATTGTAAAAAAATTTAGCTGGGTGTGGTGGTGTGCACCTGTAGTTCCAGTTACTCAGGAGGTTGAGACAGGAGGATCACTTGAGTCCATGAGGTCGTGGCTGCAGTGAGCTGAGATCACACCACTGCACTTCAGCCTGGGAGACAGAGGGAGATGCTGAAAAAGAAAGAAAGAAAGAGAGTGGAAAGAAAAGAAAGCCCAGACATATTTCCAAATATTCCCACCCCCTCCTCACTGTTTTTTGAATTCAGCCATTTTTAGTTCCAGGGACTTTTGTTTTCCCAGTGAAGAGCAGAGCAGCAGGAAACCAAGGCTTATGTAAAACCCGTCTCCTCCGGCAGCTAAAACTCAGAAACAAAATAAGTCAGAAAAACCAAGCGAGGCCTAGAGCTGCGTGTACTAGTGCTTTCTGAATGTCAACATAGAGATCAAGACAGGAGATCAACCCAGCCCTGGATGGCAGGTTTCTAAGGCTGGGCTTGTGGGATTTCCAGGGACACCCCTGGCAGGAAGCAGCCAAAGGCCTGCTCCAGGTGACAATCTGCGCCTCCACTCTCCCCAGCCTCCAGTGCTGGCTTCTACCTGTCCCCACTCGTCTCTGCCAGCCTGTTGTTCATGATCGCAAAGGCTCCTACACCCCCTGAGAACTCATCGTCCTGGGCCAGCGGGCTGGCCTGGTGGGGACAGCCATTGGCCATCTCCGATAGCTGCTTTTGCAGAACAGCTGGCAAGTCCTTCATGGAGGTCATCTCCCCCGAGAGGTGGCGGTTGTCCATGTCGCTCTCCACCGCCCCATCTGTCTCGATGGAGATGGTGCCACGCTGGCGGACACTGCCTGGTGTCACCGCGTTCCTGCGTGGCAGCAGAAGTCCCCATTGCCACCGCTGGCAGCATCCATTGTCCAGTCTCCGCAGGATCCAGTTGACGGACTGCTTGATGAGGATGGAGAGGACGTTGAACAAGGAGTAGAGGCAGCAGACACCTGTGAGGATGAAGACAAAATTGGCCAGGCGGTAGAGGCCCTGGCTGTCATACTGGGCGTTCTGGCTGCTGACCAGGTCCCCAAAGCCAATGGTGCTGAAGGCCACGAAGCAGAAGTAGAGCGCATCAAAGTAGCTCCAGCCCTCGACGTGGGCGTATAGGGCCGAGGCACAGCAGGAGAGGAGGATGGAGGCCATGCACAGGATCAGCACAACGCAGTACACCGAGGGCTTCCAGCCGGCCAAGCTGTCCATCTCACGCCGCCCTGGCTCCCCTGGGGGCTGGGTACTGTGTCTCCGCAGCTGCCGCTGGTGGCACGCCTTCATGACACAGGCGATGACGGTGATGAGGCGCTCCAGGAAGAGGTTGAAGAACAGGATGGAGCTTGAGCACCCGACCAGGCCGTAGAAGATCAGGAAGGCTTTCCCTCCCACTGTCGCCGGAGTGGTCATCCCAAACCCTGGGGGACACAAGTCAGAGGAGAGAAGGCTGAGGGGCGCTTTTGCTGTCAAGGGGGCCTGGGGCATGGTCTCGATGGCTGGCAGGGACCTAACGACACTGTTTCATGAAATCACTCCGTCCTTGGCCTTTCTAGGAATGAGCAGAATTCCCATCTCCTTTTTTTTTTTTTTAATTTTGAGTCCCATCTCTCTCTGTTGCCCAGGCTGAAGTGCAGTGGCATGATCATGGCTCACCACACAGCCTCGACCTCCTGGGCTCAGGCAATCCTCCCACCTCAGCCTCCCAAGTAGCTGGGACTACAGACATGCACCATCATGCCAACTAACTTTTTAATTTTTTGTAGAGAAGAGGTCTCACTATGTTGCACAGGCTGGTCACAAACTCCTGGACTCAAGTGATCCTCCCACTTTGGCCTTCCAAGTGCTGGGATTACAGGTGTGAGCCCAGCCTCTGAAGTTTCTTTTATTCATTAACAACCTCCCATCCCATGTCGTGTGCCATTTGTTTTGCTGGATAAAAGTGTCCTGTAGCTCTTTTTTTTTTTTTTTTGAGTTGGAGTCTCACTCTGTTGCCAAGGCAGAAGTGCAGTGGCACACTCACAGCCACCCCGGCGTCGACCTGCTGGGCTCCGGCGATTCTTCTGCCTCAGCCTTCCAAGTAGCTGGAACTACAGGCATGTGCTACCATGCCAGTCAATTTTTATTTTTTTTATTTATTGTAGAGATGCGGTCTTGCCAAGTTACCCGGGTTAGTCTTGAGCCCATGGTCTCAGGCAATTCACTTGCCTCAGCCTGCCAATGTGCAGGGATTACAGGCTGAGCCACCGAGCCTGGCTGTCCTGTAGCTTTTAATCAGAATTTTTTTCTAGAAATAATTGAGAATGGAAAAAAGCACTGTATTTTTGGACTGCCCTCAGCTGCAGTAGCAACACTCAGGTACTACATACTTAAAAATTGGCACGAACTGTCTAGAAAGCAATTGGAAATATGTATCGGAGACTTAAAAAAACTCTGTATCATTTTCTTTCTTTTTTTGGGGACTATACCGTGGGGAAAGACAGGATCCAAGAGCGTCTACAGAGTGAGTCACGCCTGGCATGAGGCATCCTCATTAGATATTTGCTGGATGAAGGAATAAACTTTATAAACTATGTTGATGTAGTCACATATGTGTTACAGCAGTTAAGATGTTTTTCACTGCCAGGAACAGCAAATCATAAACAGAGGAGGCTTAGACATGAAAGGGACATATTCTGTCACGGAACTGAAAGTTGAGGGACAGGGCAGCTCCCGGCTGGTTAATTTGGTGACTCCACGGCCTGATGTAGGAATCAAGACCAGCTCACCTTTCCAGCCCTGGCCCACCTCTACTAGCTTCCTTCCTGCCAGCAGATAGCTGCTGGCATGGTGGCTCACACCTGTCACCCCAGCATTTTGGGAGGCCAAGGCGAGAGGACTGCCTGAGCCCAGGAGTTTGTGACCAGCCTGGGCATCTTGGCAAGACCTTGTCTCTGCTATAAATCAAAAAGTTACCTGTCATGGTGGCGCACGCTTGTATTCCCAGCTACGTGGAAGGCTGAGGCACGAGGATTGCCTGAGCCCAGCATGTCGAGGCTGCAGTGAGCCGTGAGTGTGCCATTGCACTCTAGCTGGGGCAACAGAGTGAGCCCCTGATACAAACAAACAAACAAAACCAACCCAGAACAACTGCAGGCATCACCTCCTTACGCACCAGTGTCCACAGTCACAACATGCTATTTTCCTGCCTTGTGTACGTCTTTATAGAACAGAGAATCCTTTCCAGAAACTCTCTGGCAAAATCCCCATTACACACCACTGACTAACCCAAGTCAACCGCCCGGTCCTAAATGATTATCTACAAGAGGAAAGCATTTCCTGTAGACTGGTTAGGATTACCTGAGTCTCTTAGGAGTACAGATGGACACCAGAACTGACCATGTCTGCTATAAACATACACAGAGGAAAAATAACATAAAGGGAAATACACAAAATTATTAAGCAGATTAAATTTTTTTTAAATTTTAAGAGATGGGGTCTTGCTCTTGTCATCCAGGCTGGATTGCAGTGGCATGACCACAGCTCACTGTAGGTTCAACCTCCTGGGCTCAAGCAATCCTCCCGCCTCAGCCTCCTAAATAGCTGGGACTAGAGGTGTGCGCCACCATACTCAGCTAATTTTTAACTTTTGTTGTTGTTGTTGTTTGTAGAAATGAGGTCTCACTCTATTGCCCAGGCTGGTCTCAAACTCCTGGCCACAAATGATTCTCCTGCCTCGGCCTCTCAAAGTGCTGGGATTATAGGTATGAGCCACCAAGCCCAGCCTAATTAGATTATTTCAAAGTGATTGTAATATGGGCGATTTAATTGTTTTCTAATGTTTGACATATTTTATTACTTTTTTGTTTTTAAAAAAGACTAGTCAAGTGCAGTAGTGAGAAGAGAAAAGAGCAGGATAGGGAGCTGAATCTGAAACTGTGACTCTCAACTGATGACCACCACCTTCAGATCAGCCTCTGTCTTTACTCAAGCTGAAACAAATGTTAAAGCATGCTGGTGGGTTTTCTCAAGTGCAGGCAAACACTTTCCTTTTGCAAGTACACCTCTTGCTTCAACCTTCTCAGTACACCAAGAGACCAAAGCTGGACTTGCATCTGCTTTTTCACAATCTTTCAGAATCTAAACTTTTTAAGACTCGTGTGAAAAGAAACTGCAGGAATTTGCAGGCATTTTTGATAACACACCCTCCAATTTTAATTGGGATGGAAAAAGAGGCAAGGATAGACCCCACGGATTATTCTTGGGGGCAGGGGGATAGGAGATGGGTTCAGTGATGGGGGACTCAGAAGGTCAGTAGGAGGTTTTGGTCCTCACAGGACTATGAGCCACAACTATTAGAGCTGGAAGGGACTTCACTGACTTCTAGGCTAGGGTTGTCACGCCACAGGTGTGGAAACTGAGGCATCAATAGGCCAGGTAAGCTTCACTAAAGGTGGAGGCTTGACTGAACTCAAATCCCACATCTGCCATGCAGGCATCTCTCCTCTCCTCTTGCTGCCTGTGGTAAACAGTTTCCAAAGATGATTTTGAGAGACAAACTGCTCCCATTCCTGTAGGCGCTCACTGTTTTTCCCACTGACAGATAAAGCCTTTTCCTTTCCCCTACAGTCCTAGATGACCTTGGGCTTTGCCCTGACTGGTGGAACACTGGTAGAACACGGAGGGAGTGATGCTGTAGCAGCTACAAGACTTAGGCTGTTGGAAGCCTAGTGGCTTCAGCTTCCTCTCTGGATCCCTAGACACCACGCAATAAGGGTGAGCACTCAGAGAGGAAAACTTAGCTCCAGCCATTCCCAGGTGCCATGTCAGACGTTGAGTCAAGCCCACAGCTGAATGCGGTCTTGCGAATCAGCAGCTGACACCCAGCGGGACCAGGGAACCACCTGAGCCAGGAAATGGAGGGATTGTGAGACATGCCCATGACCGTTTAAGCCACTAATACAGGGAGGTTTTCTGCATGGCCATGAACGATGACGTCTCTTCTCTCCTGGATTTGCAATCTTTTCAGCAGGCACTGCTCTCCCTCCAACTCCCTCCTCCCCTAGTCTCTCTCCATGGACAGTTGGGTGTGAGGGACCAGAAGCCTGCAAGGGCATCACGCAGGCTGTTGGCCTGCTGGATCTCAAGGATCAGTCTCCCTCTGAGGGCCCAGTAGGGCACCAGGAAGAAAGCATTCCACTGTTGATGTGCATTTGGGTTGCTTGGTCTCAGGCTGCATATGAATAGTGTTTCCACAAACATTGCTGTGTACGTTTTTGGTGACTCTAGTACACATTCCTTTTGGATACATGCACCTAGGTGTGGAACTGATGCCGCACAGAACAGGAATGCCTTCAGCAAAGTGGGTGCACCAATTTAATTTACTCTCCCCTTATCATGTCTGAGCTTCAGTTCTAGTCTTGCCAATATTCATTTGGACCATGATGGTGGATACAAGGTGGTTTTATTTTATTTCATTTTACTTTATTTTATTTTAGAGTCAGAGTCTTGCCCTGTCACCCAGACTGGCGTGCAGTGGCAAGATCATGACTACCACAGTCTTGACCTGCTGGGCTCAGGCAATCCTTGTACCTTAGCCTCCCAAGCAGCTGGGTGCGCACCACCATGCCTGGCTAATTATTTTTTGATATTAATTATAGAGATGATGTTGCCCAGGCTGGTCTTGGACCCGTGGGCTCAGGCAATCCTCTTACCTCGGCTTCTCAAAGTGCTGGGATTATAGGCACGAGCTGCAGCACCTGGCTATAGTGATTTTAATTCACATTTCCTTGATGTCTAGTGAAGCTGAGCACCTTTTCACATGTTCCGTAGCTATCTGAATCTCCTCTGTAGCACCTGCCATTTATTTTGGTCATTTCTCTTTTTATTATTGATTTCTAGGTGACACAGAAACAAATATGTTCTGGGTCTTGAATGAAGCTTGGAAAGGCGTGGGTTTGCCAGGTGAAACTTCCTGCCTTGTTCATTCAAGGGCAGTGGGTTTTGCACAGTCCGTTTGGCCAGCCTTGTATTTGCACTCATGTCTCTGATCGAGGATTCTTTCTTTTTTTTTTTTTTTTGGCTTTTCAGCTTTTATTACAAAAAGAATATGATCCCAGTCCAATTTTCCAACAAAAGTCACCCACTCTAAGTTTGATTTGCTCGTTTGGTCAGGACCTCTCTGGCTGGGAAGTGAGCCAGCAGATAGGAAGCCCCCTCAGACCTCCCAAACTTCCTCTTCGCCTGCCCCAAGATGGCTCTCCAGCACACGTAGAAGTTTTTCTTAAAGCTGTTCACTGGGCCTTGTTGAAGCGGGTCCCCACTGTCTTGTGCAGTGTCTCCTTGTAGGACTCGGTTGAGGTGACCCCATAGGAGCTGCTCCGGGCACCCAGGCCGGAGCCACACACCCGTGTTTGGGCCTCAATGGGTGTTACAATGCCCTGCTTCTTGCAACCTAAGCCACTGCCCTCTTTCCAGCCCATGGCCTGGAGCATGCGACTGCCAAGGTTATCACTACCAAGCCTATCCTGAGGATTATTTCTAACAATTTTTACCCCAGCCACTACACCTATGGTGTAGACCTGATGATAATATTTACAGTGCTTAAGAGTCACCTCTTGAGAATGGATCTCAGAGTGGGAACTTCACTTCTGTGGGTGGCTAACAGCCTCTATGTATAAACTGCAGTGAACTTACACAAATACACCCTTCCCTGTTCATACTGAGGTGTTTTCCGGTATTTGACCACCGAGACAATAGCAGCAACACATGTCTGTGTTAACACCCCATCAGGACTTAAATTTGACAAACCAGAGTTTGAACCCTATAACTGGAAGCCATAGTTGTGCACCAAAGGCTGACACGCTCTGTAGGAAATTAACAACTTCCATTCATTTCACACTTGAGGAACACTGTATACCTATAAATCTAGGGCACGGGCACAAACCTACAGCTCAAAATCTTTTTTCATTTCACTCCTAAAACATTTTAAAGTCAACCTGAAGCCACCTACATAAAATTAATATTCGGTCATGGGGCAAACGTTGTAGTTGTGGTTAGAAATGAGAAAATATGTTGTTTCTGAGTTTGCTCTCACCCAATAAAGGTGACTACCTTCAGGTCCTGACCACTGGGGAGGGGGAGGCTGCCCCGCAAGGCTGGGCAACATGAGATGGTTTCAGGAGACACAAGCCCTTGCAAGACAGAAGCAGCTTCAGTCTCCAGGGACCCTAGCTCCCCCCACGCCTTTACCACCTAGGAACAGAATTTGAGATCTTTCTCCGACTCTGTACTCTAAGGAACCCAACCTCCAACCTGGCCAGAACACCAGGAGGTCAGCTTAACCCATCTGGGAGGCTGAAATTGGCTCTACATCAGGAAGGCAGTCTTGTGACACCTGGGCTCAAGCGATCCTCCCCAATCAGGCTCCCAAAGTACTGCACCACTGTACTTGGTCACCTTATCAATTATTAAACCAAGGTAAGAATGTCTCTTTGTGTAGTTTCTTCTTCACAAACGCCCTGGGGAAATTACTGAGGAGGAACGGTGGGATATGAAACCAGCCTTCTCTAGCTTTTGCAGGTTCCCTTCATAGTCTACCAGGCTGCCCCAGGGCTTCTGATCAGCATCAGTCAGAGAAGAGCCGCCCAATCAGGGACTCGGCGGGCCCTTCCGCCCTTCGAGTGCCCGCATCCAACCTGTCTCTTCCCTTACCTAGCTGGAAATAAGCCAGAGGGACCGTCTTGACTCCCTCTGGAGGATTGGATGCGGCCCCGGTAGAGAAAACAAGTACAGCATGCTTGCAATTTAAAAAAAAATCAACAACAAACTTTTGAGGCCAGACACAGCAGCTCACTTCTGTAATCCCAGCACTTTGGGAGGCTGAGACAGGAGAATCGCTTGAGTCCAAGAGTTCTAGACCAGCCTAGGTATGTTACCCAGACCTCGTCCCCACAAAAATTAAAAAAAAAAATTAGCCAGGCGTGGTGGCACCTGTAGTCCCAGCTACTCGGGAGGCTGAGGTGGAAGGATAGCCTGAGCCCAGGAGGTCAAGGATGCAGTGAGCCATGATTGTGCCACAGCACTCCAGCCTGGGGGACAGATCAAGGCCCTGACCAAGCAACAACAACAAAAAGAAAATGGATAATAGATTGGCTTGCCGGGTTCGGTGGCTCATCCTATAATCCCAGCGCTTTGGGAGGCTGAGGTGAGTGGATTGCCTGAGCCCGTGGATTCGAGATTCACCTGGGCAACTTGGCGAGTCCTCATTTCTACAATAAATAAAAAATTAGCCGGGCGTGGTAGTGCACGCCTGTAATTCCAGCTACTTGGAAGGCTGAGGCAGAAGGATTGCCGGAGCCCAGCAGGTGGAGGCTGCGGTGGCCGGGAACGTGCCACTGCACTCCAGTCTGGGTGACAGAGTGAGACTCCAACTCAAAAAAAAAAAAAAAAAAAGATTGGCTTTAGGGATTTCTTCTTCCCTCCTGCTGGTTGATGGATGCTGCACAAGGGGTCGGGACTTCCAGATCCCTGAGCACAGAGCCATCTGACAGTTCCAGCCCTCAGGACAGACAGGATAGTGCCACGGTGAGGAAGATGGCCATGGTGACGGTCTTCACAAATAGGGCACTGGGTCTCAGCCCCAGGCCCTGAGCTCAGCCTGCACGCAGTCCTCATGGTGAGGAAGTCATGGTAGCTCGCCAGGCCTGGGTCTAGACCGGATGATTGGGAAACTCGCAGAATAGTGCCCACAACTCATTTTATCGTCCCTTTGGTAAAAAGATGGAGGGTGAAGCCGGGCTCGGTGGCTCAGCCTGTAATCCCGCGCCTTTGGGAGGCTGAGGTGAGTGGATTGCCTGAGCCCGCGGGTTCGAGACCCACCTGGGCAACTTGGCGAGACCTCATCTCTACAATAAATCAAAAAATTAGCCGGGCATGGTAGCGCGCGCCTGTAGTTCCAACTACTTGGAAGGCTGAGGTGGAAGGATCGCCGGAGCCCAGCAGGTCAAGGCTGCGGTGGCTGGGAGTGGCCACTGCACTCCAGTCTGGGTGACAGAGTGAGACTCCAACTCAAAAAAAAAAAAAGATGGAGGGTGGCATTCTGTGCCTTGGGTGTGCAGGGCATGGATCTGAGCTCAGTGTGCTCACTGGGTCTCCCCAGGAATCGAGGAGGACTCACCTTGGACTTTGCAGTCCTCCTCCCAGGCAGCCAGACCCTGAGTCTACCTGAATAACATGTCTCTCTGTAACATTTCTCAACTAACAACTATGTCCCGGGCTGATTTAAGGTGTAAGAGTAAGCCAGAGAGAAACTGTGCCACCCCACCCCTGAGCTACAGAAGTCACCAGTTCCTCCTCAAACTAGGATATTTTTGGAATTGGACTTTTTTAGGGTGATGAGTGTGCTCTTGTCTTATTAACAGTTGAAGCATCTTTGACCAATGATTATGAAATCACATGTAGTACAGATTAAACTGTTTTCCAGGTGACTTCTGAACTGGAGGATGTTGCTGGACTCTTCAGCAATAAATAATTTTCAAATGAAAAATAAATTGCTCCTCTTTTAAGCATAAGATCTGGAAAGGGGTGGAGGACGTGACAAGTAAGAATTCTTCACACTATTTGCATTACTATAAATCACAGCAGTTTTTGTACTTAGAAGTGATAAAAATTGGCCACAGGGGACTCAGAATGCATCAGCTCCTGAAGAGGAATTTTAAACATTTCCTTCGCCTGAGCACCGCCTGGGCAATTAGCTGTGTGTTTGACGCTTTCTGGAGCTCTTCCTCCTCCCATTCAGTGGGCATGATGGCTGAAATTAATGCTTGGGAGCAGCTGCTGCTGTTATTTCTGATTCTACCCTTGTTTAGGGGGGAAAATCATGCGACTTACTTATCTCAAGGAGGTGTCCCAATTCCAGTGATTCTTAACTTTTAAGTCATAAAACTGCCCTTAAAAGCAAACAGAAATAATTATGCTCCCTTGAACTTAAACTGCCCTCTCTCAGACTGGGAAGAAAGGGCTCAATGATTGTAGAACATTACCAGGGTGGGGCTGCCGCTGAGGAAAGTGCCTTTTCAAAACCTGGAGTGAGTTTGGCTCCAAGATGTTTGGAGGAGTTTCCATGATAGTATTTCTATTCCAGGGGACTCCGGGAATGTGCGTCAGTGAATATGTGGCCTTTCTGCATTCCTTGCTGGAGGTGGGGGTGGAGTGAGATCCCTCAGGAGAGTGAAGGTCAGTGCAGGAGCTGTGGAGGTGAGCTCTTCTGCTGGGTATGGGGGACCCCAGCACCACTCTCTCACCCCACAGTGGCCTCTGTGTGGGATCTTTGTGCCTCCAGAAACCCACCTTGAAGTCTTGCTCACCTTCTAAGGTTTTGCTTAAGTGTCAAGGATGAACGCAGCACCGGATGCTCAATGATGGAATCATACAAGACTTGAAACAAACATGTTATTTACAATATCATCATACATTTTCTTCCAGTCTGCAATTCTTCCCTACAGACTCGAGACACTTCCTGCATTACTACTGTGCACTAGGTACGCTGCATTACCTGCAATTTCCTAGAAATGTTTGGCAACCACTTCTGTTGTGGAAGCAGCTATAGGGAACCAAGGACTCCTGAAGAAAACTGAGTTTTTCCTGGCTGACCACATGCAGAAGGTTAAAACAAGATCCCTGCCTATCATACACAAAATTCAACTCTAAATGAATCAAAGACCTAAATGTAAAATCTCAAACTATAAGAACCTTAGAAAATGCAGGAGACGCCCTTACGGAAATTGGAACTGGCAACCAATTCCTGATCAAATCCCCAAGTACTCATGCCATACGAGACAAGATAGACAAGTGGGACCTCATCAAACTAACAAGCTTCTGAAAAGCCAAAGAAACCATCAAGAGAGCGGGGAGACAGCCCACAGACTGGGAAAAAATATTTGCCAACTGTATGTCTGACAAAGGCCTAACATCTAGGCTCTACAAGGAACTCAAATGTGCCGAAAAGAAAAAAACAAACAGCCCCATTATAAAATGGGCAAAAGATATGAGTAGCCAGTTCTCAGGGGAGGACATAAAAGCAGCCAACAGATACGTGAAAAGATGCTCAGCTTCACTAGTCATCAAATAAATGCAAATTAAAACTACACTGAGATACCACTTATCTCCAGTCAGCATGGCTATCATCAATGACTCAAAAAACAACAGATGCTGGGAGAGGATGTGGTGTAAAGGGAACACTTCTACACTGTTGGTGGGAACGTAAACTAGTGCAGCCTCTGTGGAAAACAGTGTGATGATTCCTAAAAGATCTAAAAATCCACCCTCCATGTGACCCTGCAATCCCTCCACTGGGAATATACCTGGAAGAACTCAAATCATTCTATAAAAAAGACACCTGCACACATATGTTTATCGCAGCATTGTTCACAGTAGAAAGAACATGGAACCATGCCCATCAAAAGAGGACTGGATAAAAAAAGATGTGGTTACA